GGATGACAAATAGTAACCTACTCAGCAGAGAAGAGAGCTGGAACCCTGTTTGCCTGGAGAGGAGGGAAACCATCAAGAAGGTGAGATGGATGAGCAGAACCCCAGAAAGGCTTGGGAATGGAAGGCACTGGGCATCCTGAGGGCCAGTACAGGCCGAGCTGAAAGACTAGCCAAGGAGAAGCTAGAGTTTCAGGTCTGCTGCAAAGCCAGCAGAGCTAGGTGAGTGCCACCCCCTTGCCAACAGACTAGGAGTTGTATTTTCTGAAGACACTGAAGCAGAGAAGTTCTACACTCACGACCCTGGGCATAGCTGAGAGCGAGGGAGGGGTAACGAGGTGCCAAACTGAAAACAACAACAAAACACCTTCACCCTTAAGCACACTTCCCCTTAACTCTGATCTCCTACCCAGCTCACAGACCCTGCCGCCAGGCTTAAATCCTCAGCTGAAGGCTGCAAGATTCTTCTTTGGGGAAACTGATCAGCCTAAGAAAAAAGATACAACGATGTATGAAGGTCCCTGCAACATAATGTGTGCTTCTGAAACACACAGAACTTTCAATCAGCTTCTTAGTGTCTCCTTATTAAATATAAACAGAGAGCCGAAACTCAGACATTTGAAGAAAGGCAGAGACGATAAAATGGGGACAGGGAAGAATCTCACAGCTAATGCTAAGAACGAAGTGGGCAAAAGAACGCTTGAAAATAAAAATTAATAGACTCCAAGAGTTCATAGAAATCTTGCATCTATTATAAAATAAAAACAGAATACACAAAAAGGAGAACATTCATAGAACAAAAATATATCTTGGCAATTAAATATCAGTAACAGAAATAACTTGAATAGCAGGGTTGTAAATAAAATTAAACTCGGAAAGTAGAACAAAAATACAGAGATGAAAATTAGAGGATGTTTTCAGGAGGGTGGGATATTCAGCTAATAGCAGTTTCAGAAAAGCATGATAAAAACAGTGAGGAAGAAATAATTGAAGACATAATACAAGAAAGTACTAGAACTTTATGGCGTGAGTTTCCAAACTGAAAGGGCCCACAGAGTGCCCAGCACGATTACTGATAAGAAATTAGCTAAAAGATATCATCATGAAATGAAAAAATACTAGGGATAAAAATATGATAAAAGCTTCCAGAAAGAAAAACAGCCTACATTTAAAGGACTGACATAGTACCATCAAGTTCTCAAGCAGCAACGGGCACAGAGGCAATGAAGAAATCTCTTATAAATACTGAGGAAGTATGACTTTCACCCTAGGATTTTATACCTAAACAAACTAGCAGTCAAGGGTAGATATACATATATATGTATGTATATCTACATACATATATATGTATATATACACAAATATATATACATATTTGTATGCAAGCTATAGCAGACACACATTCCAGCCTTCTTTCTTACTCACAGAACTCTGTGTTGTTTGAAACACCAATGTGTACAGCTAAAAATATTTCCTTTGCTATCTTCCCATGCAGCTAGCAGTAGCCCTGTGTCACAGTCTGGCCAAGAGAAAATCTGCTACAGAGGTTTCTGGAAATAGTCTAATTTTCCTGATAAAATAGATTTGCCTGGCTCTGCTTTTTCGCCTCTTCTGCCCTATTACCTCCTGGAATGCACATATAAAGCCAAGAGGTACCGCAGCCTCCATGAGACCATGAAGCAGTAAACATAAAGGCAAAACCCAGCGTATAAGTATGGTAGATACAAACAAAAGCAGGAGCTTGGGTCTCTGATAGTATCACTGACCCGCTACCCCAGCGACCACACTGCTTACTTCACCACTGCTTGTTATGTAAAGGTAAAGGAAAAAAAACTTAAAAAAAAAATTGCTGTAGTCAGGTTTTCCGTTATTTGCAACTGAAAGCATTCCTGACGAGTTATCAAAAAATTTTTATCTGCCACACACCCTTCCTCAGGAAGTTACCAGAAGATGCGCTCCACACAAATAAGAAATAAACTAAGGAAGAGAAAGTTATGATGCTTGGAAAATAGGTGACCCAACCCAGGAAGGATGCAAGAGGAATTTCTAGCATCTTACTAATAGGGTAGTCCTGAGACAAGAGCCGTCCTGCATGCCTAAAAAAAAAAGTAACCAGTTTTAGATGAATTTAACTTAATTTTACCCAAAATATTATAATTTCAACATTTAATCAATATAAAATTATTAAGGGGAAAAAAAACTAACCCGTTCATGTTGGATCAGGAGGATAAAAGGCTCCAGGAGACGAGAGCAAGAAAAAATAAATAATGGATAGATTACCTGATGTCTTTGATCATATTGAAAGTAGTTTAAAAATTCTTCCAGAAACTTTGGAGGTAAGGTAGAGATTGGTACACAGAAAGCAAAGCAAAAAAACAAAAACAAAGCAATTATTAACTCTAGGAAAAACACAAAGTTGTAAGGGGGTGAAATAGAATTGTAGGATGCTGTGTGGCTCAACTGTGAACAATATTTGCAAAGTCTTCATAGTGCAAACATTGAACATTGTTTTTTAAAAAATTATGGCAATACTATATTGGAAAGTTGGAAAGAAGAGAAGCCAGCGTGGCTGGAGTACAATGGGCAAGGGGGAGAACGGTAAGCAAGGAGATCATAGAGGAAAATAGAGATTAGGTCATCCAGAGGTTTGGATTTTCCTAAGAGCCACTGGAGAGTTTTAAACAGGAAACCAGCATGATCCAACTCATGATTGAAAATGATGACTTTGGCTGTGGTGTTGGGAAGAATACACTGTGCAGGGACAAGAGGGAAAGCCAGCAGACCGGTTAGGATGCTATTATATTGGGATAAGAGGCTTCTGCAAAAGAGATAAAGAGAAGGGGAAGAAGTGGCCTAGGTTGGGGAAGGCACACTTTGAAATGGAGAGAAGTGGGTAGATGGGAATACATTTTGGAAGTTGATGGTTCATGAAGGGAAAGGGGAGACTCAGGGATGACTTACCAGATGTTTGCCTGAGGCATCTGGAGAAGGCAGAGGATGCTATTATTGAGTTGGGATGACTAGGGGAGGAATGGATTCAGGAGTGGAGGGTTTGGGATCCAGAGTTCTGTTTGGGACCTGTCAGGGCTGAGATGACACTGGAGGGTACCAAGCAGGCAACCGGTCTGGAGCTCAGGGTTAACACACAGAGACACGAAGCCCAGAATATGCTCTGCCTTCAACAGGGGTAATTCCTGATTTTTCTCTTGCCAACACAAAGCAATGTTTCATTATATGTTTGGATTTTTAAACAACCTCAATGCTATGATTTGGTGCGCTGATTGATTTAAGACTTGATACTGAGAATCTGAGGGTAAACAGGGAATGCTGGGGTATTACAACACATAACCCACTTGAAATGTTTAGGCCTAACTGGTTTTCTATTTTGAGTCCTATGTATCCCAAGGAAAAACTTTCTCCACCAAAGCTGCAGTCATAAAATAATAGCCCCCTTCTGTGAAATAATTTCCCATTATTAGCATGATTTAGTAAACATTTTCCTCTAAAAAGAAATATTGCCCATGCTCAGTGGACTTCTGTTATGTGGATAGAGCACGTGCCAAGTTAAAGACCACCTCAGGCACGCTTTGAGATTCTGTTTCAGTTCTTACAAAGTTCATTCTCAATAAACATTCAAAAGGACCAATTTGTACAAAAGTCTTTCAAAACACTTTTGACTACCAGTATTTTCATTTGCAGGTCATAGAGTTCTTTAACTAAACAGTCAACAGTATTCTTTCTTGGCTTTCTCATTGCTTCTTCATTAGTTTGTGCAATCCTTTTATTTAATCATTAATTCCCAAATTGGTCTTCACTGCTGTGTGGATTTTAATGAGAACTGAGTTTTAACCACATTACAGTAGATGCGATGGGGGTGGAGGGTAGCAGTGGCAATTGCAAAATAAATCGTACCAGAAAGTGGTAACGGTTGGTGATTGAGGCCAGTTGTTGAAAAATAAATGCCTGTTATGTAGAATCATAGAAATTTGGACTTAGAGGCCAAGGCAAGGCAGCCATTGGTAGACCGACAGCGCCTCTAGCGGTGGAAAGACAACGGCGGCGGTGGCGGAGATCCAGGGAAGCTTCTGCATTTTTAAAAAGGCACCTGCTGGGTGAGTCTTCATTATGCAAAAAGAAAGCATCCACAGGTGCCCAATTTTAAGGGGATACAACTTGGGAAAATCTAGACCTATAAAACAGCTATAATCTCCACACTCTAGTTTAACTCCTAAATGAGTTGTCGCTTTACACAAGGTGGATTTAAGATTATTTATGCCCGAGAAACTGACGGAGTGGCGGGAGGCGGAAAAATTCTGCTCAAGTTTGGCCGCCACTAACAACTAGTGAGCGATGCGGAATTTAAAAGAGAGGAAAAGAAAACTGAAGCAGCAGGCAAAAGAGTTAGTTTTTAAACACGGAGACCGTAGAACACAGCAGGCACACCTGCGGAGAAGGGAAGGCTCACCTGCGTGATTATTGCGCGTCCCCCAAGTGTATCCGCGGGGGAGGCAGGGGTGGAAAGGAAACCTCACAGAGAGCTGACCCAGAGCCTGGGGAGGGGGGTCACTAAGGGACAGGGACAGTAAGAGGACCCGACGCGCATCATCCCGGGCGACACGTGTAACTGTCAAGACAGAGAGAGACACCCTAACAAATGACGCCCGAGAGAGGAGGGGACGGGGGAGCAGCCCCGAGGCTGTGCCATCCGGGCTCCGCGCTGGCGGCTCCCAGGCCCCGAGCCAAGTGCTCCCTCCTCCCCCCCGGGAAGCGGCACCTGGGAGGAAGGGTCCTCTCTGCCCCGGGAACCCGAGCGGGGGAGGGGGGGCTCCGCAGCTGCGCCCCGGTGCGCCGCCTCGCGGGGCAGCCCTGCTCCTCGGTGTCCCCCTAGTGCCGCGCGAGGTGCCCCCGAGGGACGAGACCCCAGCCAGCGGACGACCCCGAGCGGCGGGCGGGAGAGGAGAGCGGGGGGACCAGCAGGGAGCCGGGTGGGCTCAGAGACTTACCTCGGGCCGCGCGGGGCGCGAGCAGAGCCCCGGCCAGGGCGAGCAGGAGGGCGCGGGCGGGGGGCGCGGGCGGCGGGCGCGCTGCCATCGTCGCCGGCCTTCAGTGCAGCAGCTCTCGGGGCCGGCGGCGAGCGCTGCACCATCCCCCGCGGGCGCCGAGAGGGGGCCGGGCGTCGCGACCCGAGGGATTTCCTGCTGCAGGGAGTCAACTCCGAACCACTCGCGCAGCGCCCGCGCCGCTGGTGAGCTAGTCTAGGCTTTCATTTTTTTAAAAAAAAAAGTTTTCCCCCCGTGTGTGCGCGCGCGCGCTGTTCTGGCAGGAGCCAGCCTTGACCGTTGCAATAAATGAGCAAACTGTCCGAGTTGGCCCGGGGACGAGGAAGATCGTTAGTGAGAGAAGGCAGGCCTGTGAAATGGATCCACGGCCAACAGTCACCGTTCTCATTACCACGGAACAAATTATCGTCTCCCCCGCACCCCCGCCCGCCGGCGGCGTCCCGCGGGTCCTAGAGACCGCTCAGGGTGCCCCGCCAGGGTCCCGCCCAGAGCCGGCGCTCGCCCACCCCCGGGGGCGGCTCGGTGCAGGGCGCCTCCCGGGCCGCGCGCCCTGGCGGCACAGACGTGGCTCGGTGGAGGCGCGGGCGCCCGGAGCGCACACATCCCCGCCCCAGGATGATGTGGCCGCGGGGCCCGGGGCGCCCGACTGCCAAGAGCACACGCGGCTGCACGGTCCAGCTTTCCAGTCTGAGGCTGGAAATGATGACTCGGCTGCTCGCTCCCCGGCTCGCCCGGAACCCGCGGAACGCGGGTAGCAAGTCTGAAAGGCGGTCCACCGGCCGGGTGGGCGTCCCGCGACCTTCCCCTAAGCCCCCAAACGGACACTTCATGCCCGAGAAATAAGGTTGGATTCGCAGGCACAGGCCGCCTGGGCATTACGCTTTGATGTATTACTTTAGGTTTCACGTTGATAGATTGACTCACGTTTCCTTTCCATGGCATGGACCCAGAAAAGGGTGTACAGTGATGTTTCCCAAACTTTCCTGATCATGAGAAGCATCTGGGCCCGTCTGTTAAAAATACAGCTTCCCGGGCGCCCTTCTTTGCCTTGGGAATGAGACTCTCCAGGCCACGGAGTCAGGGGAGCACCGGGTGTTTGGGAAACAGCAACCAAATGAATGGAGGGCCTCTCCTTCTTGCGCCTGACAGCCTCGAGCTCCTGTGTCAGTTTTTCTAATAGGACTTGTTGCCCTCTGGGAGACAAGGGAGCTACCCAAACTGAAGGAGCTGGATGCATTAAGGAAGGTTGCCAACCACCTTGTGGGGCTACAGTGACCCCCAACCTTGGTGTCTTATTAGAACCAAAAGAGTTAAGGAGATAGAAACCCCCCCCCCACCCCCCAGTTAATGAACTCAGAATCTCCTAAAACAAGCGGAGCCTGAAGAGTTTTCAAAGCCCCAGGTGATTCTACTGTGCAGCGAGGGCGGGGAGCCACCCATGGAAATCTGTCCGGTGACCTCCCACCAGTTCCCCCAAGAGGCCTCATTCTAAGAGGCCATTAGCCAGCCACAGAGGAAACCCCCTTCCTTACCATTTCTTCCTACTGGAAAGCAGCTTTTCTCACTATCTCCCTCCTGCCCCCAGGTTTTTACAGTGTTCCCAGGAACCAGGTCAACCCTCTCAACAAAGAGCAGGCCTTGTTTAAAACGCCAGAGACACTGGCCCAAAGGCCCCCGTCTCAGTGCCAGGACATCTCAACACTCCGTCTGGAAGCGAGGCCTGGGTCCAAGGCCTGGGTTCAGGCAAGCCCTGCTCCTTCCCTGCCCTGCTCTGCTCAGCATGGCTGTCTTTCTTTGTTCCTTCATTTGTTCATTCTCTCCATCAGCAGTTAGCACCGCCAGGTTAGGAACTTGGGAAAACAAACTGATGAGAGAGGCCTCCTGCCTTCAAAGACTTTTCTGTCTGGCAGGACAAACTGATAAATCATGACTATCGAATGGTGTGAGCTGGTTACTTAACCTATTTAATGATCATTGGGCTGTTTGTTAACTGGGCTGTTTGTTAGCTGCATTATTTATCACACACTTCGTATAACTGGAGTATCTGGAGTATCATGCTAAAGGGCTTCCCATGCATTATTCCATTTTAGAATCCTGACTATCTGGATGAGGAGACTGCAGCAGATTGAGGTTAAGTGCCTTTCCCGTGGTCGCAGGGCTGCAAAGTGGGTCAGAGCCCACGCCAGATCTGTTTGCAGGTATAGCCTGTCTTTGACTCTGACGTCCAAGCTTCAGCTGCAGCATCTAAGTGGAAGTAAGAATACAGGCCTCCCAGGTGGCCATGAGCATGAACTGAGCTATGGCCATGGCTTCCCAGCCCACAGGGGCTCCTGACGTGCGGTGAGAATTCAAATCCCTTTGAACTTGACGTTTCCTTTGAGGTCAATGGGACGGGCTAGCCTTAGGACGAGTCCAGCTGCTGGCCTCTTGAATCTTTCTGCCTGGATAAATTATTTACTAATAATAGACTGAATATATGCAGTGCACTGGGCTGGGGGCTTTATATACTTTCTCTCCGAATGATCCATTTCTTTTTGTTCTTTAATATTCAGCTGTTACTCTTGACTGTAGAAGTCCAATTTTTTTTTTAAACCTGGAATTTGCAAAGCTCCCTCCAAAGGGCTACAGGTGCCATAAGACTGGCCTTGGTTTGTTTTTGACCGAATGAAACAAAGCAGCCAATGCAAGGGGAAAAAAGAAAGACAGGAAAGAGAATCCTAGCCACAAGCCCGGGTTTCTTAACCTTCTAATTCCCCACCTCTGTGAAGTGAGGAGCCTGGGCTGACACCCTATGCATAGATTCCACGCTCGTCTGTAACCGCCCGCCAGCCAGGCAGAGAGCAAATCTGACGTCCGGCAGATGGTTGGCCTTTGGATGGGGACCCTGTCTCTTCATTCACAGGAAATGGAAGCCGACATGGCATTCAATACTGGATTGTTAGGTAATGGTATGGGGTCAGAGGCCAGGATCTGCTCATTAAAATTTCAGAAAGATGGCTTGTTGTCCCTTCCTCTCCAGCAGGACTGACCTTTGCGATACCGTTTCCTGATGCTATTTTTGTGCAACAGCCTGGGCATTCACAATCAACAGGGCACCGATTTCTTACCCAAGCTCACATTTAGCTCCATCCACTTTGAATACAAGCAGATGGAAAATGGAGGCAGATTTTCCTAAGCCAGAATTTTACAGGCAGCCACTCCTGATCTCTGCTGTAAGTGAAGGTTCGGCCTCCTTGCAGCTCCACCTATTGATGGAGCTTCAGACGCGGGCTCACGGAACAGCTTCCATCTGTCGGAGCACAGCTCCCAGAGCTTGCTGCAAAAGTCAACAAACAATTGCCACCTGATTAAGATTCTTGGAAATCTTGTTAATTCCATCTCTTGGGGAGATTGAAACTCATGATCTTCTCAGCCTGTTATAACGTGAGGTCCATTTTTCTTTTCATACATCTTCTCCTTTCAAGAATCCGTGCCTTCACCTCCTCAGAAAGGTGCTCCTAAGAGCCTCCTCTGGGCAGGTTAACCCCTCTTGGCTCTGATACCTCCATTAATGCACAGACTCCGTATTTAAGTAGCCTGTCCAAACACCAAAGAAAGAATGCTCTTGGGGAGATCAGGGACTCATGGATGCTCTGGGTCAGAAGGGACATGGAAGTTCACTTAGGCGAGCTCCCCTCATCTATACTCATGTGTCACCTGTCATTTGACCATCCAACTTCCCCTGATACACGTACTGTGATGGGGAACTCATTACCCCCCCCAACCCCACCCCCAAGAGGGCCCATTTTTAAGTACTCCAAGCGACTGGCAACACCCAGGGGGAACAGAGAGCTACCATGGCCACAACCCAGCTGCTGAGACAGGCTTCCTGGCTGCACATGCCCATCCTCTCCCATGAGTCCTGGGGCAGGCTGAATGAAAAGACAGTGCTCAGAGAAAGGCAAATGGGGACTCTCAAGAACAAATATGAACTCACCACCAGAATGACCAAATATTCGAAGACCCTCCTTCATTCAAGCAACAAAACTTCATCTTTTTCCCTCTTAGTGTGGGCTGGGCTTGGGGGTTCATTCTCATGAATAAAACGCTGGAAAAATGACAGTCTGTGAGTCTGAGACGAGATCAGGAAAGGCCTGAGTGACTCAGGTCACTCACTCTGGGGGAAACCAGCAGCGTGTGGCAAGGACGCTCAAGCAGCCCATTGTGGAAGAACCAAGGGAAAAGCTGAGGTCTCCTGCCAACAGCCCCAGGAGTGAGCCATCTTGGAAGTGGACCTTCCAGCCCCAGTCAAGCTTTCAGATGATGGCAGCACAGGGCAGCATCTGACTGCAGCCTGCTGAGAGACCCTGAGGCCAATCATCCAGCTAAGCTGCTCCCAAACTCCTCACCCACGGAAATTGCATGAGATAATGAACGTCTGTGGTTTTGAGCCAGTAATTTTGGGTGGTAATTTATTATGCCACAATAGATGACTAGTACACATTTAATAAAGCAAACATTCCTTTTCTGCATTTTTTTCTAGCTTGCAAGGATTCCTGATAACTTCAATATCAAGGGCACCTTCCTTATTTTTGAGCTTTGAATATGAGTTATGGATTGGGTGGCCATAGGTCTCAGTTTTGTCCTAGCATAATTATCAACAGCACCCCCGCTTCACCATCACAAATGTCCTAGTTACTAACAAACTGTGCCGTTATCCTATCTGTAGATAAATATGTCTTTGATGTGGTTTTTTGGGGGCAAGAGGAAGAAGCAGGAATACAAGCTTGGTTCTCCATTTTGACTCAGTTCCTTCCATGAGTGATGGTTGACTGAGTGACTGACCTCCCAGTGATGGAGAGTACACATGAGCATGGTAACAGCCATAACCACCAGAGCAGAACTGCCTAGGAGCTGGAGCCTCACAAGGTTCTCTGAGTATTTTCACTACACGGCTAACCAGTCACGCAGTGATCTGATCTAAGCTGCCACTTCCGGAAGTTGTGAGACATTTCTTATCAGCCGCCAAAGAACCTGCAGGCATTTGCCATTGACGGTATCTAGAACACGTCAAAGAGAAAATGTGATTAAAGGTCATGCTTGTTCTTGGATTGGGAGACCCACCAGGGGAAGCACAGATGCTCCCACCATCCAGGCTGGCCACTCGCTTGTCAGGTTTCTGCTCTGAAAAATGCACAGGCTCCCAGAAGCCAGGAGAGCTGGGATCATGGGGGGGCTCTGGAGACAAGCTGGGGCCTCCATACCTAGTCTGCAGTAGGCTCCCTCCCAGGGAGTGGGGACAGCCTACTTGACAATTATTCCAGGCAAGGCCCTTCCAAGACATGCATACATTTATGAAACTCCTTTACCTGATTTCTCT